TGTAATATGCGGGTTGCTCCTGGTACTTCTCTGAAGGCAGAGTGGACCGTGGGAGCAACCCCACGGTTATTGTGGTCTGCTTTGGCACACATGTACGAATTTGTATAAAGAACTATTTTATCAGTACATAGATAAAAATAAAGATTTATTATTGAATATTCTCATGTTAATTTAGTTTAATATGCAGATCTCTTAAAAATACTTACTTTTCATTTCTAGCATCTTTTCGCTGAAATATCAACACTGGCAATGAAATTATAGACACCAAAATCGTAAGTATATAACCAATCCAAAATTTATATTGAAATATTACATATTTAATTATTTTTATGATAGTATCCTTAAGAAAACTAACTACACTGATAGACAATATCAAATAAAACACTGTGACCCACATTTTGCTTAGTTCGGTATATTAAATGAATACAAGTAATTTATTTTTTTGTATTTGAACCAGCTGTCCTTCTATAAACCTTAGAAGCAAGTGTTGAATTAAACAAATGTTCAAGTTTATTTACTTAATTTTCGCGAACTTTGCAACTAGCCACAACATTGACTTCGGGTTTTACCGTGAGAAGGCATTGCTTAATTAAGGACAATGTGTAAAATTTTGGAGATGCAATTTTAATGTAGACCTTATTTTCTTTTAAGAATTGTAGTTATTAAGTAAGTTATAAAGTATTTAATAATGACAAAAATGTGTTTTTGTCTATCAGGAAATGAGGACAAAATAACACTTGAATTAATAAAATTATAGTTTTAAAAAACGGCTTGTTTATAGGAATCATATAAGCCCGATCTTTAAGATTTTACTAATAGCATTTGAAGAATTCCACTATTCACCTCTTGGCTTCATCATCAGACAAGGTTGTGCCAGATTATTGGAGTGTCATTTGAATTTTATATACTTCTATGTAAATGTACTATATAATGAAGTCCCTGGAATACTAACTGCTAAAAGACTAACTAATGTCATGGAACTTAGAGTGTTATGTTTGGAATTTATGAATAATAAATACTGTTCACACTATAAATTGTATACAGATGGGTCTAGAGATAAAACATGCATGGGGGCTGCTTTATATGATCCTCAGGAAAATATTTCAAAAAAATTTAAAATCAATGTTAATATTTCTATTATGAATTGTGAACTTATAGCTATTGCTGAGGCACTTTCATATTTAACTAATATAGAAGCAGGAAATTTTGTTATTTTTACAGACTCAAAAAGCAGCCTCCAACATTTGGCTCAGATACCCTCGAATTGTCGAGGCATCCCGTTAGCCATGATTATAATAGACAAAATTTGTAGACTACGTGAAACGAATAAAAATGTTGTTATTCAGTGGATACCTTCGCATATAGGGATTATGGGAAACGAGAAGGCTGACTGCGCCGCTCGTCAAGCAGCTTATGATGGTACACCTTATACCTGTTTACCTTTACCTTCAGACTTTCTGGTAAACGTGAAGTTATTATGCAGACAAACATGGCATGAATATTTTGACGAGCGGTCACTTACAAAAGGTATTTGGTATAGAACGTTGCAGAGTGAGCCTCTTCGTCACCCGTGGTTTGACAATATAAGAAGAAGATATGTGGTCGCTTTATTGAGGTTGAGATCGGGTCATATTCCTTCAAACAAATTTACATATCTAATGGGTTTATCGGAATCTCCAAATTGTGAAATATGTGGAACCATGGATGATATACAACATGTTTTGATGGAATGTGAACGGAACTCGGATGAACGTCGACATATTTTTACTAAAAATTATCAAGTAGGTCTGTGCAATAGTATCTTGGCTTGCCCCTTATCGGAGCAAGCAAGGATGCTTTGTACATCGCTATTTGCCATACAACGTCATGAATAGGTTTATAGTGCGAATTGTAATTAAGAATGTGTTCATAAAATATGTAATTTTTATTACGGGGGCGACATAATCACTGAGTGATAAAGCTCCTTTAAATAAAGAGAAAAAAAAAATACTTCTATGTACAATGAGTAAATATAAGTTCCAAATACATATGTAGAAATGGATATGGATATATAAGACCCTAGTTTTATCTGATACCTAGATGTATGTATAAAGAACTATTTTATCAGTAGAGAGAAAAAATATAGATAAGGATATAATTTAATATGTTTTAAAATCATAAGAGTTATCTAGTTAAGTACCTACGACCAAATTTGAATATGAATAAGGTATTATTCAATTACAGTAAAACTATTTTGACTATGGTCTCAATTATTAAGAAAATAATAAAAAAGAGCATGTGTCTGTCTGTTACGGCCAGATTTAAAACATTAAAAAAATATTTCTTTAGCTGGCATTTCAAAACGGAAACGATATTTATTTATGATTTTATGTTTTGTACAGTTAAGTATAATAAAAAACATAAGTTGATTATTTTAAATGATTAAAAACTCTATAATAATTTCTGCTGTTAGACAGGCTTCCGGCTCAAAGCGAGATTGGAGGGTGATTAGGCATCCAGTCCACAACACTGGCCTAGCACGAGATAGTGGACATTGTAAGTCTTTTGAAAACTAACACGTTTCCTCATGATATTACAAATGAGATCCGCACATGCAAATCTCAAAGATGCGATGACTTGAACCCAATTCAATTCTACACAGCAATTCTCAAGGTCTCAATTTAAATAATTTTTTTTTATTACATAAAAATTGTAATTCCTACAATAATAGAAAGAAAAAGAAGTAAAACATTGCCGTTCCTTATTACCCCATACCCTATGGGGTAATTAAGACCACCCTGCGGGGGAAATGTTAAGGTTTAAAAAAGAGTTTTCAAAAGTAGGAATTTTTATCCTATTTGGGTGATTGTTACGCAATATCTTCGCAAATTGTGAATCGTTTTTATAAATGTTTTTTAATGAATAGGTTATACCGCGAGTGTGATATTAATTTAGATAAAAATAATTTACCCCTGAGGGTGAAACTTAAAAGTGATTTTGAAGTCAGTGTACATTTTAAATGAAACATAAATTATTGATGATTAAACGAACTTACCTTAAGTGAAGTTTTATCATAATTATTTAAAAGCTTCATCCGAAAAGATTAGCATTATACAGATGTGGTGCAAGTCTCAACTCTCCAATTACGCACTGAATATTGAGAGATTTTTTTGGGGGTCCACTCTGCTATCAGAGAGGTACCAGAAGCAAGCCGCATAGCACACCACCCACCACTCAACGAGATGGGCAGCTTCCCAATGCATTCCTTGGCTTTGCGTCCGGCTGTGTTGCCGGATGCTACTGAGCCACCACGACAAGGTGAACGCACATTAGGATGAGATGTATAGAAATATTATAAATGTTGTTGTTAAAACAAAAAATAAATAAATACAATATTACGAATTTAAATATGAGATTAGAGGAGGAATATTTGTGACAGTGCCAATCATCGCCATTTTGTCTCAATCTTGCGGTGCGCAATGGAACTGGTATATTGTATTAATATGTAAAAACTAAAACCAAAGAATTTGGTTTTTCGGTCATCTGAACGCGGACGGAGCCACGGGCAATCCTATTTGAGTATAACAATTAAAAAATCTTTGATTATATAAAAGAATAATAAAAATATGCAAATATGATGTGAAAACAAGGTTTTTGAGAAACATGCCAGTAAGTTAAGCCGTGACGGATAATGATCTTTAATAATAGTGAAGTTAATTTAATTATATATGAAACACTATTAACAGCTGGTAGCTTCTGCCGCATTATAAATGTAAATATTAAAAAAATACTACATACGAGAAAATTATAAAATATTCGAAATTTCGTGTTTCTAATACGAGTATTATTATAACTACGAGTACCTATAACTGTTATTGTTAAATTTTATAGTGTTGTTCGTTTTATTACAGTCACAGGGTTTATAAGAGAATAGCAACTCACCCTCGCTTTGCTCGGGTTCGCCCTAGCTTGACTCCCTGTACAAACTTTCATCCCCATTTTCACCCCTTTTAGGGATGATTTCCGGGATACAAAGTATCCTATGTCTTTGTCAGGGTCTCAAACTATCTTCTTACCAAATTTCATCTAAAGCGGTTCAGTAGATCCAGAGATTACGCCCTACAACGTCACAAACTCACAATCTCACAAACTTTATTTATTTTAATATTAGTATAGATAAGTGATCATTTTACACAGTCTAGATGTACTTAGTATGATAGACTTTCAACTGGCACGCTTTGAAGCTTTTAACAAGAGAATTGAATTGAACAGACTTACTTTTCTGTCTTTGTCATTCATTGTCTTTTCCATCCTACTTGACTGTGGAGAAGTAAATTGTGGTCTAAACACTAGAAAGAACGGCTTACCTTTCCGTGACAGTTATAGAATATAATAAGAAATCAAGGGGAGACACTTCAAGTCAGCGTTAAAAAATATTTTAAGCACCAAATTACTATTGTGTATTTAAAATAAAATTATGTAATTAAAAATATATTTTAATATTTAAATTTAAAGAGCAATAAAAAAATTGCCAGCTCTCTGTCGATGGTAAAGTTTTAATGTTAAATAAACAATTGTATCGTAGTAACGTCCTCCATATTCATGATTGCAATAAAATACTAAAATGTATTTGAATATAAGTATATTTATAAAATTTATATATATACTCGAACCATATTTTAATACGTCATATTGTATCTTTGTAAAATTGCTATTATTTTACAAAGGTACATGATGTATTATATTTCCGAGAAAAATCTAAGTTTTATGTAATAATACTAACCAATTAAATAAAAAAAAAACTCTTCCTGTCTTTTAAAGGTTTGAATTGTTTCTTGCCGTTTTTTTATCAATTATAAATTTATCGAAGTTATTTGGAACTTTGCATAATAATAATTAAGATAATTTTTAAATCTAAAAAACAATTATAAAAAAACCGTTATAAAAAATTTATTTTTCATCATACTACTTTTACATAATACATAATTGGTATGATAGTCATAGAGTCGAAAGCCGGCTTAATCAGTATGGTCTGAGTCCGGTAGCGCTATTGGGTAGTTTGGAGGCAAAGTACTTTTAACTTCCAATAACAACTCTTTGTAAGTGCGGTCCATAATATTATAAATGCGGTCCATCAGATCTGGTAGATCATCCATTGTCAAACCTTGCGTCGGTACTGCCTCTAAGCACTGTATAATCACATGACCTGCAAAATTTTGGAAAACGTTACGACTATTTACAGTATAATATATTGTTAATATAAAAAATTGTTAGTAAAAAAAAATGTTTAAAATTTTCTAAAATATTTAAATATTAGGAAAAAAATAATCCTTATATATCATTAATAACTTATGTTAGCAAAAAAGTTCATTTAATGTCCTGACCGAGAATATCGTAACAGAAAATCTCAACAATCAAACTTGGCAAGATCCGGGACTCGAACCTAGAACCTCAGTTCTGCAGCCGTATAAACAAAAGCCATTAGACCACCGAGGCAGTTTGAAAAAGGTCATCTACTATATATTAGTAGTTTTATAGTAAGCAAATGAGGGTTTTAATATTCGAAGTTTTTAAAGTAGGTAATTTTTGGAACGAAGTTCCTTATCGCGCGTTACACGTTCTGAGCGGATCGGAGCGAGACCGAAAAAAGTGTAATAAGATTTTTTCCGACGCTTCTTGCTGTAGTTACAGCCGTGTATGAACCATATACGAGTACATCGCCGCACACAGCTCTCCCGCGCGCCCTAAGACACGACGGCTCTCTCTCTTCTTTTCGGCTTTATTTAACTTTTATTCATATTTTTATAGTAAACAATTAATGTATTTCAAATTTTAAATTAGTATTATTAATAAAATAAGATTTGTACAGTTCTTAAATTTTAGTTTGTTAATAACTTAATTATCCCAGATCATTCAATGCTTAATTTATCATTATTTATTTTATACATCTATATTTATAAAAATCAATTGCTGTTCGCTAGTTTCACTAAAACTCAAAAACGGTTAGACCGATTTGAATAATATTTTTTTTTGTTTTGTTGGGGGTTTGTAGGTGGTTTAAAAAAAATAGGGAAAATCCAAAAAAACTGCTGGAATTTCGAAAAGTTTTAAGATGTTTACTTTATATGGGAATCACTAACCACTAAAACGTACCTAGTGAAGAATCCGAGCAAAGCGAGGGTGAGTCGCTAGTAATAAATATATTTTATCGTAAATTATTCAATTGAATTATATGAACTTGATATTTTATAATATAAATTATATTGACTGTATAGCAAACATCTACCAAAAAGGGAAAAAACTTTATTATATTTTTATTTATTTCTCAGAGTTATGGTTAGAAGGGATTTAAAATTTATGTTTAATTAATTCATTACGGACTTTTCACTGACACTAATGGGATTTTCAGCAGCAAAAAAAAATCTATTTGCGTTCTAATGGAGCCTGTCGTTAAGGTAGCAACTACAATCCTCCCAACGTGCGTTCACCTTGTCGTGGTGGAGAGGCTCATTAGCATCCGACAGTCAGCCGGGCGCGAAGCCAAGAGACGCACAGGGAGGTGGCCCACTTCGATGGGCAATGGAAGGTGGCCCACTTCGGTGGGCAGTGGGAGGTGGCCCACTTCGGTGGGCGGAGTACCATGCAGGTTGCTCCTGGTAATTCTCTGATAGAAGAGTGGACTGTGGAACAACCCCATGGTTATTGTGGTTTGCTTCGGCAGACCTACCTTCGGGGCGTCGTAGTTGAGTGCGTAAGCGATCCTGCGACGCCCCATAAAGACGGGGGAAGGTTTTGTTGGGTTTTAGTGGGTAGTACTGGCTTTTCGAGTCGGTGAGTCTCACATAACCACCAGTATGTCTGAAGGTGATATGCTTAAATGCATTTTCCAACATTAAAAAATAATAATAAATAAATAGGAATATTGTGTTAGATTTATTTTGCTTGAGACAATGATTTTATTTCAATCTTTGATAATTGTTTGGTTGTTGTTAATCTTACCTTTGTTAAATATTTGTTTTTCATTATTTATAAAATAGTATGGCGAGAAAACAACTGGAATGATTGGTACTTGAGACGCTACAGCTATTGCAAAGGCGCCTTTTTTGAATCTCAACAGTTTTGTTAAATCTCTATTTCTCGTACCTTCAGGAAAAATAAATATCTTCGTCTGTAAAAAATATTGTATTTTTTCTATTATTTGTATTAGAATATATATGAGTCTTATAGGTATATAAAAATATACCTATAAGAGTATCATTACGGCGCGACGTCCTTCGCGTGCTAGGTAATTCAAAGTAATTTCGTTACAATTTCTATAAATTGTCTGCTATTTTATTAAATTAAAAAGTACATATTATATTTTTGATTAAATAAATCTATCAAATGATAAGTTATAATATTATCATATGTTAGATTAATATTTTATAATATCATTAGGTATATTAGATAAAGTAGTGGTAGCTTAGTGGCACCTCTGGTATTTTCATTGCGAATTATATCTAACATTATTACCACTTGTCTTATGTTGAAGGAAAACGTCGTGAGGAAGCCTGCATGTCTGAGAGAACCTAGCAAGTTTTCGACAGACATGTGAAGTCCGGCAACTGGCGTGTCGCGCTGCGGACTATCCCCTGCATTAAAAGAAGGCCTGGGCCCAGCAGGGGGGATAAAAAAGGACGGAATACATACAATATTATATTAAGAATGGACAATTAGGGGCGTACATTATATATAATCTATCTAAAGTTTTATTTTTTATTTATTTTTTAATTATATATAATTTAAATTACGATTAATAGAAAGGTCTTCTAGTAAAGATATTTTAGTACGGCATGGAATTCATGATTGAGTAAAATATATTATTATAATCATTTATTAACTTGGAATTCGAAACTATGAAACTACCAATAAAAATTATATATTTACTCATACATACCTTATTTTTAAAAGCTTTCTTCGACTTCGTTTCTAACTGCTCATATGCTTCCTTGGGATTATTTCTATCAATGAAAATAGAACCGCACAAATACATACATATACCACATGTGAATACGTATAACATTAACTTCTTACTGACAATTATACAATTATTAGCTACTTGCCAAATGTAAGTTATACCTGTAATTTAAAATATTTAATAACTTAATAAGTAATTGATTAATTTATACTTCAAATAATATATAAATACAGATCAATACAGCACCTACGTATTGGGATCTAAGCCGAACCCTTTGTGTACAGAGCCCTATTAATTGAACAAAACATGAAACAAACATAGATTATTTGTAAACCAATAAATGGTTTGTTTGTCTAAATTTTCGTTTCAACTTTTTTACTAATATAGTTATAGTTATAATGACCTACAGACTGAATTTCAGACATTTATTGAGACCAGCCATTTACAAAGGAGATATCTATCATAGGGAAAAATGTGTGTGTAAGTAAAATTGCACTCTCTATTCCTTTAATTTTGAGACAGGTTCATTGAGTCAACAATTTGACACGACTGGTGAGATATCAGATACAGGCTTTTAAAGACACGGGGATGTTACTAAGAATTGCTTGTCAGAAAAAAAATGTTTGGACCCAGGAATCGAACCGGGCCTCATTGTACCACTTGTAAGCACCGTATATATCAATATAGTCAACTACTAGACTAAACAAGATAAATATATAGATTGATACACATCGTAGCTAATATGATAATGCTAATTGGTAGTAAGTTAGTAAGTACATTAAATAAAATACCTAAAATATCGATGGTAGATTGATGGTTTGCAATAATAACAGCTCCTGTATCCACTGCTAAAACGCTATTATTTCTTATTTCCCATTTCAATCCAATTACATGCCTTATTAAGGTTAACATACGGACGACATATCTGTAATGTAAAAAAATATATTTATACATACAAAATACTTTTAAGTCTAAGTTTGTAATTGAAATTGCAAATATTTGAACGAATGTTTGAGTTATAAAAATATATAATATCTCTAATCTGTTAAGATTACAAAGTGTTTTGGTACACTGTAGATAAAAGTCACAAGCAAAACATATAAGCACAGAAAATAATTCAAAATGTTTAAGTATTTATGAATATTCAAATAAATCATACAAATATAAATAAATTAAAAACAATAAATTATCTTATCTATGTTTATTGTACTGTTTTGCTTTTATATTGTATTGTTCATTTTTTTATTCATACAAAGCAATATATTATATATATTCAATACGTACATATATTACATATTATTATAGTTACAAAAATAATAGTAGGGGAGCCCAAGAGGGGATTTTTACAGTTACTGTAGCGCGGTAGATTAACATAAGGGGAGATACCTTGCACTCTGTTGAGTTCCTCCATCGTAATATAAGTCCTTTATATAAGGGCGTGCGTATAGGGCAGCCGATCAAAATATTTGATAAGGTAGAAATACTTGAAACCGTCAGATTAAGGTATGGTGAGCTAATTACATCCTAAAAAGTGTGCAATTCAATAATCTGCCGATTTGCACAAACCGAAGGGGCAAACATCTTGATTTTATTTTATGATTTGAAAATCACACTAGAACGGCTGAACGTATCAGGATGAAATTTGGCACAATGATAGATTATAGTGCGGAATAGCACATTGGCATTTTTTCCCGGAATTTTTTTTTCCGTGGGATAGATTTGGCTTTGTTTTTCGCTAGGGACGAACCCGAGCTAAGCGAGAGTGAGCCGCTAGTAAACTAATATATAAAACCTTTAGACTATGGTTTTTAGACGTTTAAACGCCGGCGCGGCCGTCGCAAGTGCTGGTTATATTTAAATATTAAAAAATACACTAATTACTTACTTTCCATTTCTAGGATCTTTTGGACGAAATATCAGTCCCGGTAATGAAATTGTACACATCAATACCGTATGTATATAATAAATCCAAAATTTATATTGAAATTTTATATACTTCATTATTTTTGTATCCTTACAGAAATAAACTACACCAATAGACACTATCAAATAAAACAGATTGACCCACATTTTGCTTAGTTCAAACGTTATATTAAATAAAATATAATTTATTTTTTTTGTATTAAAACCAACCGTCTTGATATCAACCTTAGAAGCAACTGTCGAATCGAATTTAATTACTTCATTTTCGTGTACTTTGCAACTAGCCACAATATTGAATAGTGTTTCTAAAAAAACGGTGTAAGGCATTGCTTAATTAAATACAATGCCTGAAAATTTTTGAGAATATTATATAATTTTAATGTAGCATTAAGTTTAATTACTTAATTTTCGTGTACTTTGCAATTAAAATTGAGGTAGACGTTGTTTAATTAAATACACTGTAAAATTTTGCAGATACAATTTTAATATAGACCTTATTTAAAATTAAGTATTTTTATCTTATAAGACGTATAATTATTATAAAGGGTTATAAGTATCAGTAATTAAAAAAAAGTGTTTTTATCTAGCAGGCAATGAAGACAAAATAACAATCATAAATCTCATTTTCCAATTGAAACTAAGTTACAAAAATTATATTTTATATAAAACTATTTTTTTTGGATTTTATCATGGTTTGTTTTGATTTTTGGTCCCCGACGATTTGATTGCTTTACAGCAATAATGGTCACGGGAGGAAAAATATTATTTAAATAAATCTACAAAAATGCGAAAAGATAGTATTATTTAAAATATTCGTGTAAATTTAAAAAGTATTATGTGAACCAGTACGATTTGGAAATCGCAAATCAAATACGCCGGTTAGAAAACCTGAGGACGAAGTGGAGCCTCACCCGTGATAATTATGATTGCTGTAAAACATTCGAAACGCCGGAAATCAAAAATAAAAATAAATCCACGAAGAAATCTGAAAAGATAATTTATTTAAAATGTCAAAGATTCGCGTAATTCTAAGAAAGTATTATAAAAAAATGATAGTTTTAAAAAGCCGCTTGTCTAAACGACTTATCCAAATGAACCATATGAGCTTGAAGAAATTTCTGAAAGCATTTGAAGTATTCCACTTTTCACCTCCTGGCTCCATCATCAGGCAAGATCGTGTCAAATTATTGGAGTGTCAGATTAACTTTAACGATTAATAGGATTTTATATACTTCCGAGTATAATAAGTAAATATAAGTCCCAAGTAGATAGACATCAATATGATAAAGGAATAAAGACCATGGTTTTATCTCTACATATAATAAAATTGTAACTAAGCCGAATCTGTACATTACATTTTTTTTGGAAAATCTTATTGAAATAAACATTATTATCGATACAGAGGCCGAATCTATAGTTTATAGAATTTTTGTCTGTCTGTCTGTCTGTTACCGCATTACGGAAAAACCACTGGAGGGTTTTTGTTGAAATTTTGTATGGTGATAGCTGGTTATCCGGGTCAACATATAGGATAATTTTTACCGCGGAAAAATATGTCATGTCTGAGAAAAAATACAAAAACTGCATCGCAAGAGTATACTTATATATAAAACTTAAGAATTTGGTTTTTGGTCATCTAAACGCGGGCGGAGCCGCGGGCAATGCTAGCCTAATATATGTATGTATAAATAACTCTTTTATCAGTAGATAGATAAAAATAAAGATATATAAAAGATATTCCCAAGTTAAACTAATTATTTTAAACTAATTTAATTTCCACATCCCTTAAAAATACATAAAATACTTACTGTCCATTTTTAGCATCATCGCGCTGAATTATCAACACTGGTAATAAAATTGTACACACCAATATCGTAAGTATATAATAAGTCCAAAATTTATATTGAAATTTTATATATTTTATTATTTTCATTAAAGTATTATTAAACAAACAAACTACACTAGTAGACAATATCAAATAAAATAGGTTGACCCACATATTTGCTTAGTTGTTAATTAAATGGATATGTGTAAGTTATTTATTTTTTTGTATCAGGACCAACTATCCTCCTATCAACCTTACTAGCAAGTGTTGAACTAAACGAATATTCAAGTTTATTCACATAATTTCCTGTACTTGCAAATAGCCATAACATTGTCTTGAAGCGTATTTCTTAAACCTGAGCAAGGCGTTGCTTAATTAAAGTCAATGTCTTAAAAAATTTAGAGATACAATTTTAATGTGGTTTGAAGTTTAGTTACTTAATTTTAGTGCACTTTGCAACGCCACAATATTGACTAAAAGTGTTTTTCTCAAAACTGAGGAAGGCGCAAAGACAATGTTTGAAAAATTTTGGAAATACAATTATAATATGGTCTTATTTAAAATTAAGTTTTTTTAATTGTAATTATATAGGGTTATAAACTTATTTAATAATGACAAAAAAGGGTCTTTATCTAGTAGGCAATAAGAAAAAAAAACAATTATAAATGTCATTCTTGAATTGAAAGTAGGTTTCAAAATTATAGTTTTAAAAAACCGGTTGTCTGAATGACTCGACTACGCGAAACAATAAGAGCCCGAGCTCAAATAAATTACTACAAGCAAATAGAGTGTAATTTGCATTTTACATACTTCCAAGAATAATAAGTAAATATAAGTTTCAAGTAGATATATACAGGGTGGAAAAAATCAATGGGACATGGAAGAAAAGTACCTTAAATATTGAAGTTATCAAGATTAACTCAAAGGAAACACTTCATTATTTAAAAAAATATATAAGTACAAAACGATATGATTAGGAATAAACGACCTAGTTTATCTGATATATGTATAAAGAACTATTTTATCAGTAGATAGAGAAAAATAAAGATATAAAATTTAATATGCCTATAGGTATCTTAAAGGATTGTTTTAAAATCACAAGAGTTATCTAGTTAAGAGGATTGTGAAGTGCCAATATGCGGCGAGAGTAGGTATTTTAAAAAATGCTATCTGTTTCATGCCGCTTTGCATCCCCCCGGCAGTGAACAACACAAATACAACATACGCAAATTCTCACGCACACTATGATAGCAGCAGCCGGTGACGCGCGGGCGCTCGCGGGGGGTGGGGGCGGCGCGACTCGGCGCAAGAGCAATTTCAAAGTTTATCTAATATCTACGGTTTGCGTACAATATAC